TATGTATGTATGTATGTATGTGCAGACTATGCAGACTGAAGCATTAACGCACATGTTGCAGATCTCGAAGGGGTATTTACGGCCCCATGGCAATATGTGTCTGTTCTTGCTCTTGCTGAAGTGCCTATACATATCTGCCGAAACGCACGTACGAAGTTCTGGCAGGCACATACTACATGTCGGTTTTCTCAGGACAAATCAAGCTTGACTTCTTCCTTTCCCGAATTGTGACTTTGTTGGGGTTTGTCGGATAGTTTGCTCTTTTCAATTTCGAGTTTGATACCCCGACCCGCAGGTTCAGGATTTTACGATTAGGCCTGCAGGTACACGGCGCTTCCGTGTCAATTTTCGGCTGACCCGAAGCGACTGTACTGAATACACCTTGTACTGGTAGCTAATACAACTGGAAAGCTCGGTAACATGAAGTGCCACACCTTGGACGGTACAGCAAGAATCAACCAAAAGGCATAGTTAAGCTTGTAGAAGTGTAGAATGGGTATTTTCCGACATTGCATGCCAAGCTACCATAAATACCATCGGAACAAAGGTAGATAGATTCTGCAGGGCTACTGCAAACACAAGGCTGCTGCAGAAGAGGGAGCATGTTGACCGGGGCTACATTGCTCCTGTTTGTATGTGCAGCTCGTCATGCTACCTGTCAATTTGTCTTTGTTCTCGTCGCGCCTGCCTGAGAGCCGTGGCATTGCAAAAGAGACACGACCAACGGCTCTGACCGTGCGCTGACATGTCTGAGCATTGCAGCCTGTGGTTTGAGGTTCGTTGCCGACTTGTCACTCGAATGGAGCAAGGTCTCCGGTCAGGCCTGGGATGCTTGTGGCTTGTGGCCATTGCTTATGAAGCAGTAAGCCTCTGGTTTGCTGTTCAGGGTTGGGTGCTGAAGTTGAAGAGCGCCTTGAGGGAATGAACATGAGTAGGTCTCGGGTGGCATCTGGATTCACGGCTATGCTTTTGTGATATGTGGAATTCTTTTGGATTGGCTTGTCTGGACGTAGTTGTCCTTGCTGCCTCAAACAGATAACGAGGACCCAACTTTCAGCAGCAGCCCTTCGGGATTGCACATACCGGGCTTAGCTTGCAATGCCACGAGCTTGACGAGGGTGCACATCGTCGAAGAATAACCTAACCCGCGTAATAAGTTGAGACTCCAACGTGCATGCACTTCGACCAACGCCCAAAAGTGTTCTTTCAACGTATCGTACACCTCAGGCCTTGGAACAGTGCAGTGCGAGTAAGACCCAGTAAGAAATGAAGATGCCAGTGATATATAAGCATGGTCTAGCTCTACATCATTTCTATATCTATACTATGCATGCCACTGTTAAGCTAGCAGCCATCTCTATCATACCAATCAAGTATGGGGCTTTGTGACAGTCATACTCGCCGAAAGGGTCTACGCCAGGGTGCGGTGTTCTGGCGTTTTGATCGGGTAAAGGGTCAGGGTTGAGGGTTCGTGTCATGGTCGGTTATGTCGACTGAAGCACATCTCTACAGCCGGGGGATGTTGATGCATTTGGCTCTGTGCATTCTTCAAGTTCAGCAGCCCCTCGAGTGCATCATTATGAGGCCCAGCAAGGTCGCCATTGTGCAGGTGACTCTATAAGCGGTACTCGTAGCACCTGTAGCTGTCGCAGCCAGGAGTGGAGGAAAAATGCCCTGACCTGGCTATGCATCGTGTTACCTGGCGGAGCCAAGAAGCATTTTCGTTTCAGTGCCATTTTGCCCGCTGAATCTTGCTCTACATCTCCTGCTGCTCGCCCTCTCCTCTTCCTTTTTTGGAACCGCGGTTAGGGGTGATGATGAGCGTGCCTGTGGCTGGTTCATGGGTTTCGGGTTCAAGGTTTTGTGTAGACACATAATACGTGTTCCGGCCTCGAACTGCAAGGACCCTGAAACCAAATTCCTCAAACTGACAGATTCAGACCTCGTATCCAGAGCCCATGATACTTTGCAATCCTCAGCCCTCCACCTCCTAAGCCCAAGCCTACAGCAAACACAACAGACGCTGAAAACCTCTCAACGGCGACCGCAAATCCCATGGATACATCCTACACCCTGCAAAGCGTCAAGCACTCGCCTCTTGAGTTCACGCTCACGAGAGCTCTTGACAGAGGTTCTTCTTTGCAGCAAGCCAAGTTCTGGAGGCCTGCCCGCTGCATGTGCAGTGTAGATGTAACGGTACCCCCCCCCCTCCCGCTGTTGCCAAGAAAGTCAGGGTGATGATATCTGTGCTGAAACTCGAGACACGATAAGAATGCATCGGCGAGATAACATTATTGTTCAGATTGGGTCAGTGGTCGTTCAGCGCTGCTGCCGGTTTTGCGGCTCCTGCTGTGCGGTGCATATTTTTCGCAGCGGCTGTGGTCCCTTCCTACGGGGACCCGCGATGCTTCACAAATTGCATTACTTTGGTCTCATGCGCGCATCCGAAAAACTCGAAATCGCCTAGACGGCAGATCTCGTTGGAGGGGCGCAGCTTCGAGGGTGCTGCCTTCTGTCCTTCCTCCAGCTTCATGATCCTTTGGTGGTGGCGGTGCTAGCGGTCCTGGTTGTCGTCATAGTCTTGGTCGTCGTGCTTGTAATGGCCGTGGTGGTCCCCGCAGTCCTGGTCGTCGTGGTCGTGGTGCTGTTCGTGGTCCTAGTGATCCTGCTGGTGGTCATGGTCGTTTGAGTGGTGCTGCTGGTCCTGGTCGTGGTCGTCGCATTTGTCCTGGTATCGTTGGGGCATACATGCGGCATTGTCTTGCGCTGATTGGGCTGCATAATCATGATTTGCATGCACATCATTATCGATGTCATTATTCTCCACAGCGTTTTCGAACGACTGTCAAGTTCACACGATCAACCATGCATTGGTTAGTTCCAGCACGTTATTAGCATCAGACACCAGGCTTTGAAAATCCGCGAACTTTGAGATCATAATGATGAGAATAGCTACAAGTTGTGTCCCGAGTGGCTGGTCGCAATAAGGGGGCACTGTTGCACCTTTACACCTCGCAAAAAACCAAGAGAGAACATGTATGCATTGGACCAAGTGATCTTCAACCCTCCATCCTCAGGATGCCTAAAGGGGACCTTAGTGTACGAGCCTCAAGGCATTAGGGAGCCTATCCCTGCGGTACAGATTGAACAGAAAAAGAACAACATGCACTAGCTGCTTGGCTTTGCGCCCCAAAGCCGGACCACGCTGCAAAAGCTGAAGCCTGGAGGAGTTCCGGCCGATGGAAATCAGTGCAAGCGCAGACCATCCGGATGCAGAGGCAGTCGCAGCTTTGTTCTAGCTTGAGGTCCTATATTGCTCTTCGTGTGTATTGACTTGTTTGCGGTGAAACATGTAGGTCTCATCAGGGCATCAAGGGCTTCAGAGTGCAGTTAGACTCATTAAACTGGTTCTTGATATAAAGCATTGCTCCATTCCCACCCACTCCACCTGCCTCCCCCCCCACCCCCACCCCACCCACCCCACACCCCACGAACGCACCAACAAAGGAATGAACACATGAAAGACTGAAACGAAATGGAATGAAATAACACATGAATGAATTAATTAACGAACGAATGAATGAACTGAATGAGTGAACTGAATGGAACGGATGCATGAATGGATGGATGTATGAATGAATGAGTGACTGAATGGAAGAATGAATGGAAGAATGAATGAATGAATGAATGAAAGAATGACTGAATGAATGATTGAAATGAATGACTGACTAAGAGAATGAATGAATGAGTGAATTAATGAAAAGAAATCAAACGCAATAATGAATGACTGATTGAATAATGAATGAACTGGTGAGCTGAATGGAGTGAATGAAAGAATGAGTAAATGAATGAATGAATGACTGTATGAATGAATGAATGAAGGAAGGAAGGAAAAGAGGGAAGGAATGCATTAGCTACATTAGTTAGTTCATCAACGAATGACGTGCAATGCATGGGCGAACGAATTGAATGATTGCAAGAAAGAAAGAATGAATGACTAAGAGAATGAATCAATGAGTGACAATATGAAGGAGTGAATGAATGAATGAATGAAGGAAGGAATGAATGAATGAAACGGAGTGAACGAAATTAATGAATGAAATGAAGTGAGTGGAATGGAAAGGAAAGGAATGGAATGAAATGGTATGGATGAGTGAATGAATGTATCGACGAATGAAGGCATGCATGCATGAATGAATGAAATAAATGTATGAACATGAATGAATGAAGCAATGCAAGAATGGATGAATGGACGAATGGGTGAATGGGAATGCATGAATGGTTGAATGAACGAATGACCTGAAATGAAATGAAATGAAATGGATGAATGAATGAATGGATTGACATGAAATGAATGCATGCATGGATGAATGGACGAATGGGTGAATAGGAATGAATGAAAGAATGAATGAAATGAAAGAATGAATGACATGAATGAATGAATGAATGCATGAATGAATGAATGCATGGATGGATGAATGAATGGAATGGAATGCAATGGAATGGAATGGAATGGAATGAATGGAATGAATGAGTGAACAAAATGAATGAGTGAGTGAGTGAGCGAGTGAATGAATGAATGAATTGATCAATGAATGGACTCATGAATGAGTAAATGCATGAATGGATGAATGAATGAATGAATGAATGAATGAAATAATGAAACAAATGACATGAAATTAATAAAGTAAGAAGTTAATGAAATGACGAATGAGGAAGGAATGAATTCACAAATAAATGGATGTCATGAATTAATGGAACAACATGAGATGAAATGAAAGTAATGAGTGTTTTGATTGGATCACTGATTCCATGAGATGAACGACATGAAATGAATGGATGAATGGATGAATGGGCGAATGGGTGACTGGGTGCATGAATGCATGAATGAAGGAAGGAAGGAAGGAAGGAAGGAATTCATGGGTTGAAATGACATGAAATTTAATGAAATGAAATGACCTGAAATGAAATGAAGTGAGCTGAAATAATGTACAAAATGAATGAAATGTAAGCGGAATGCATGGAATGAATGAAACGAATGAAACGAATGGAATGAAACGGGTTACATAAAGATCGAATGAATGAATGAGTGAATGAATGAATGAATGAATGGATGGTACGGACTGGAATGGTATGGTATGGAATGACTAAACGAATGAATGAATTAATGTATGGATGGATCAATGAATCAATGAACTAATGAAATGAAATGATATGAACTGATATGAAATGAATGAACGACATGAATGCAATGAATGACATGAATGAAGTGGGTCGAAATGAATGAGTGAGTGGAATGGAATGGAATAATTGCAATGCAATGGGTTGGAATGGAATGAATGAATGAATGAATGAATGAATGACTCGCCCATGCATGTCTTGCCCCCAACTGATCCAGGACCCGTGCGACTGCTTTCCCTCAAGTATATCTGGCGAAGGGGAGCAGGACATTTATGCTTCCCCCCCTTCAGCTTGCATATCCAAAGGGACAAGCGGAAACTATGCACCCCACCACAGCGGGAGATGTCCGCCGCACGGTGTTAAAAAATAGGACGCGGCGACCAGACTCGCTGCATTTGCTGTAAGCGATGTGGGGAGCCCTTTTCCCGCACCTGCCGCCCGCCAGACACATCTCTCAACGACAGTTTGGTAAGCACGCATGTTCACACGGAATTAGACCTCTGCCTGCCTGGCTGGCTGCCTGCCTGCCTGCCTACCTAGCTATCTACCTCCCTCCCGCCCTGCATGCATGTAAACATGTGTTTATATTCACATACACATGTACACGCATACAGAGAAAAGCCGGGATTCCGTGCCTGAAGCAGGTGTTGGTGTCCATGCGACGAGCCCTCTCAGCTGCTTGTCATGGAGCAAGCACATCCCCGGAACCTGGCGCAGCATGTGACATGAGTTTGCACCTCTTGGGTTCCCTTCCTACACGGGTGCCTCGAAGAAGAGAGCTCAGATTCGCGACAATGCCCCCACGGGTTTAATTACTGTGATGCAGACGAATTTGAAAGGCAGCCTCAGGCCCCTTCTTTAGCGGTTTTAGTGAGCCTCCGGCCTGATAAGGGTCTGGCATTTTCAGCAGCTGATGCTTGCTGAAACTACGTGCTCCGACAGAGCCAATGCGTCGCGGTCTACTCGATCCCTTTCTGAACGAACTTTATCCCGGTTCACAACAACCCCGCTTAGATGTGGCTGGATCGTGTTTACCTGCTGTCGCGTAGAATGGATTGACGTTGTTGGGTTCACTCTACGTGCTCCTTTTCTGAGAAGACTCCAGCCACCATAACAACAGCGTATCTAGACTCTGTCCATCCGCTTGCTCAGACAGGGACTGGCTCAATCTACCGCTGTCTTCAGTTGTTGCAAAGCGTTATGCCATAACGAGCCGAGATTAAGCCGAAGTTTCTCTGTCGCTCGTCCAGCCGCACACATGGAGCATCGTTGCGATTCGCGTCTGGGTGAGAGTGCATGCGCTATCTTTTTTTGAAGATTAGTAGTACACCCTATTGAAACCTCTTCGGAACTTCCTGTAATAACTGGACACCGCCCCCACAAAATCCAGAATTGCGCTCTCTTTTCCTGAACCATAGGTCACCAAAATGCAATGTAAATTCTTGGATACCTTAAGCACTGTAAGGCTTACTTTCAGACTTTTAATATCTGTCCAACTCTTGTTGACCATATACCGACATCATCATGTTTTGTAGCGAGCCAGAACTGGGGGGTCTAGAACCCGCGTATGTTCGCTTCTTTGTTGCTCCGTGTTCGCATGTGTGTGTGTGTGTGCCCGGTCAGCTCACTTGGGGACACCAGGTGCCTAATAAACAGCCAGGTTGCGAAGAGAGCCCCCAGGGTGATTGGAATCTGCGCAGCCGAGAACTGCATGCAACGATACCAATTCTGTTTAATAGTTCTAAGGGCCTCTCCTTGATCATCTTCGCCATCTCCAGCGGACTTGTCATTCTGGGTGCATCAGTTTTATCTCACATTCTGATGGGCTTGGACAAGAGCCTTGCATGCATCCAGGTTCGAGTACATGACTTGAAGTAGGGTCTATGTCGGGATATTGGCGACTGAATAGAGGACTCCTTTGGAGAAATGGTGTGTCTATGTGTTGGTGTCGGGCTAAGGGGAGACCCAGTAACAGCAACCCTACCTCACTGGAGGCTCATTTGTCGACTTGAGGTTCCCAGTTTCCAGAGTTTCGATTTCAGGATTGGCTCCGAAAGCTTGATGTTGTTGTCATGGCTTGTCTTCAGGGTCCTAGGGCGACACGGCAAGCCTGAGCACGGGGAGTTTGAGGTTAGAGGTTGCGAGCAGTGTTTCACACTGCTGTTTGGGCGTCAGAAGCCTCAGCCATATCACAAACTTCAAGTCCTCAGCATTTTGTGGGAGTCGTCCTCTTCTCCGCCTTGGTGTAGTAGTGGTGGAGCAGTCAAGCTAGTGATTGCCTTTCATCGGGAATGCGAACTGGGTCAACGGCGTCATTTACAACAACCCAGCAAGTCTTGTCACTTGTGACCCCATGTCGGTTGCAAGATCTGCCACACCGCGACACCTCGACTCCTTCTGGGTTTCGAGGGTGCCAGCCCTCCCACGTGGGGTCTATACCTGAGCCTGAGCCTTGTGCCCCAGATGGCCCAACAGGCGTACTCTAAACTCCGAAGGAGCCTGGACTGCTGGTGCTGCATTCTCCTTGAGGAAGCAGACTTCGTGGTTGGTGTGCAGAGCTGGAACTGCTTGTGGCTCGTCAGTGTACGGGTCGAGGCAGTTTGTGCGGCTTTGTCTTCTTCCGTTTCGGAGGGCCTGCAGCAGCCCCGCAGCCCTAAACCCCGGAAGACATGCTGCCCGAAGCTCCGAACGTGCAGAGTCGCTGTTCCGAATTAGGACCCCCTGCGAGCGGATGCCGCTCGTATACAAACCTTACAGAGGCTGCAGCCCATCCGATGCTTCCTACTAAAGGCTTGGCATGCGTAACCGGATGGAGAACCACAAACTATATGGCCGCGCGATAGATCCTGCTACTGATTCAGACCATAATCTGCGAACATGAAAGCTACTACGCCGCAGCCCACTGAATCTGTGCCGTCCGAAGCTTGTGAACAACGCAACCCCCCGAATCCTCCGGAGCAAAGTCCGAACCCCAAACCCTGACACCTTGAAGCTACAGCCCCGAAGCCATGATCTAGGCAAGCCTTGCTCAAGTGTATTGGGCGCGAACTCGGCAACGCCTTCGTCATGGCACAGGCTCAGCATAGGATTGGGAGGAACAAACGTGGGTTCTGAACTCCAGGCAATATTCCTACAGCATAAACATTCAGCACAAAGGGTTCTACTGTATCTAATCCTGGTTCTCGGTTCGCGGAACCCCCTCCCATGGTATCCCCCCGGCACACCCCCAGCTGCGAAACCATCAACTGTCACGAGGATCTCGTCCCAAACACACCCGATCCTTGTGACAGTGGACACTTTCCACCCAGGACTCTGCCATGAGGGTATTGAAAATGAAACTGTCACCAGGATCGCGCACGTTCCTGCCTGAGGCAGTCGACCCAAGAAAGGATGTTGATGATGATGATGATGATGATGATGAGGATGCTGCTGATGATGATGATGAAGATGCTGAGGATGGCGACGGTGATGTTGATGATGATGAGGATGGCAACTGTGATGTTGATGATGATGATGATGAAGAAGAAGATGATGATGATGACGATTTTGAAACATCCAGGACGACCCAAACCGCGAACCACACCACACCACAGGGGGGCGGGGGATGGAGAGCAGACCCAAACCGCGAACCAGACCACACCACAGGAGGGGGAAGGGGTACCAACCATTGGGGGGGAGGGGTGAAACACTGAATG